GTGTGTGTGTGTGTGTGTGTGTGTGTAAACAACACTTTTATAAGAAAAACAAGGTCTTTAAAATGGCTAGGTAAAAATAAAACATTATCTTGGCCAACTGGACTGCACACCAATCAAGCAGTCTTCACATCAGAAGCTTAAACTCTGGGTTGACAGCATTCTCCCCCAGGACACAGACTTTTCTTCAACCAGGTATCTCTTAAACCACTCATCTCAAGAAGAAAACTCTTTGTGAGGAGCTGGACACACATGTTGGGAATAATGGGCAGCATGCGGGGGCACAGGGCAATGCCTTCCAGTGTCCCAAACCCACGTCACTGCCAGTACTGACTTACAGATAGGAAGCTGTGACTTGGCAAGGGCAAGACTCAGACAGGGCACGGGACGTGGGCATTCATGCCCCAGTCTGTGTGACCATGGAGCCCTGTCCTCCACCCTCAGGCTCCCCAGCACCAGCCACAGAGCGCTGTGCAGGACAGGCCCGTCTCACTGGCTTCCCCAGTCTCCCCTGCATCCCGAGCCTCTGCCTCTGGGCATGGGAGGTTTTACAGAGGCCAGGCTGACCCTGTGGGGGGCCAACTGCAGAGCTGCTGGGGAGGCCCCCAGAACTCTGTACTAGGGGGATCAGTCCAAGGACTCTACTAGGCTGGGATTCAAGGTCCCCACACACGGGGAAAGGGGCTACCCAGCCATGAACACTGATGTGGGGACCCTGTCATCCCTTCCTCTTTGTACAACTGTAACCCCAGGGCCAATTCAGGCCCCTCACACAGAGGAGGGGACCCCACAGTGAGTGCTAAGCAGCAGGACAGCAGGCACCCAGGTTTCTGTGCATCATCCCTGGGGAAGGACCAGGGCTTCTATAGTCGTGCATCCCAGAAGCCCCACAGCTGGGGTCCAGGTCCCTGATAGGACACAGGGTGCTGTGTGCCAGTTGTGAGGGACAATGGGATCTGGGTGCCTGCCACACTCCTGCTTCCAGTGAATGCATAGTCATGGCTGCTGGCCTTGTGCCCTGGTTTGCACAATAGCTGGCAGCCAGAGCAGGGCCCCAGGCCAACATTCAGCAAGACCTCCTGGACCTCTAGGGGTTGGAGGCCAAGAACCTGTCAGGGTGAGAGGACACCCAGAATGGCCAATCACCATGGACTCTGTGGACAGGCCAGAGGATGGTGTCCTGGGCACGAGGTCACCCACAATTGAGCAGGTTCCCTTGAAGGAGGTGGTAGTGGCTTGAATGGTACCCCCACCCCTCAAAATATACCTATACACTCTAATCTCCAGAACCTGTGAATGTGACCCCATTTGGGAAAAGTGTATTTGCAGATGTAGGTAAGGATCTTGACCTGAGGTCTTCCTGAATTCTCCAGTGGGCCCTACATCCACTGACAGGTATGTTTATAAGAGGGAGGCAGAGAGAAGCGGAGGAGGCCAAGACTGGAGGACAGCAGCCATAAGCCAAGGACCACTTGGAACCACCCAAAGCTAGGACAGCATGCTTTCTGCCTCAGTCTTCAGAGTGTCACCCTGCCAACACCATGATTGCAGACTTCTGGCCTCCAGAGCTGAGAGAATCCATTTCTGTTATTTTAAGCCACCCAGTTGGTAGTAATTTGTTACAGCAGCCACCGGAAACTAAGGCAGAGAATGTTCCAGACCCTCGATAGGATGGTTTGGTTGAGAGGGGCCTCCTGGTCCCTGGTGATGTGGTCAGGTGCCTTGACAGAGGGTCAAGGAAGACTGGGTGGTCCCAGAAGAAAAACCAGCCCCCACCTGGAAGGAAGGGACCCTGAACTCACAAGAGACAGGGGCCGAGGAGTACTTGTTAGCCCTGTGCACAAGGCATTTCCAGAACTGCTGCCAGACACCCCATGCCCATGAGTGGCTCCTCTGTTCATCTGCTGGGACAAAAACCTGCTTCCCAGCACCAGACACAGCAGGTGGAAGCCTCTGACCATGGCTGCATCTCTGTCCCCGCCACCCTGCTGTCACACTACCTACCTGTACCTGGGTGACCTTCCAGCCATTGACCTGGGATTGGAGGCTAAGCATGGCAAGGGACCCCGAGGGCATGTACCAACCCTGCACTGCACCTGTCCCAGGTGTTCTGACAGTGCACCCTGAGCATTCGCCTCCCATATGCTCTGCACCCTGAGCATTCACCCAGTCTTTCTAAGTATCCCCAGGGCTGCTGGTGGATGGGAATGGGACACAGAGCAGCCAGCTTTAGGCAGAAAGAGGGGGCTGAGAAGTTAACTTATCCCAGGCTGAGTCCTAGAGAACCACATGGCAACAGCAGACAGGAAAGTGGCAAGTGAGGCTGAATGCCCTCAGAGCTTGGACCCAGCCCAGTGAGGCTGATAACAGGGGGTTGGTGGAGGTCAACATAGGCAGCTTTGTGGCGTGGAGGATGGACTCCAGCCACCTCTCTGCATCACAGACCAACCTTCACCCCCCACTGACAGTCCCCGCGGACAGAACCTAGCTTGTCTGACCTATTTTACAGTATGACACACAGTAGGACAATAGTGCCCTAAGTGCCAGAACAACTCTCTTCTGTGCCTGTCCTCCCTATGGTGTCTCCATCCGCATGCGTCCGGCCCTAAAGGACGAGCAAGCTTCAGCACTCGCAGGACAGCGACTGTCAGGGTCGGGGGACACAGCGGAGCCAAACGGGGCGCTCACTGGGAATGACTGAGAGAAGCGCAGGCAAGAAAGGAACAAGGGGAAAATTAAAAGAAAGTGACATGAAGAACATCAAACACGGAACGGCGTAAGAGCTTGAGGGAGGGAGGCAGCGGCTTCTTCAGCCTCTTCGAGGAGGGGACATTGGGACTGAGGAGGAGCCGCCGGGTCTGGAGACAAGGGAATGACAAGTGCAAAGGCTGGGAGACGAGACCAGAAGCAGCAGGGAGGCCAGTGTCAGCCATAGGAGAAAATGGTCTTGATTCTGAGAGTCGCGACGATGGGTCCTGGGCCTGGTGCCTCCCATCGTGGGCCTCATCTCCAAACTCAGAACGCGGGACACCGGAGCCAGAACCAGAGGACACACACGCCAGGAACTGAAGGCCCGGCGTGCTGTGGCCAGCCGGGCCCCTGAGCATGAGGACCGGAAGTGTGTAGGTCAGGCCTCAACGCCAGGCCTCGAGTGCGGGGGTGGGGAGGGAATGGGAGTAGTGGCCGCGCCTCGCGCCTCGCAGGCTGGGGTCGCGTGTACGCGCAGAATGTCACTTACTCGCCGAGGGCGGCCGCACAGGTCCTGGTCCCCGCCCCGCAAGCCTCGCAGAGCCTTTCTCGCTGTTTCTCCCTGCCGCAGGGCGACTGACTTGGTGCCGCCTCAAGGGTAGGCGGGAGCCCTCGCCGGGACTGCTGGGACACGTAGTCCCGCCGCTCTCCAAAATCCTGGTTGTCATGGCAACTGAGGCAGGCTACACCCAATAAATGAGACACAAATTTATGTCGTCGTCAAGGAGACGGCTTCCACGCGGGCAAGTCCCGCCCACGCGTCCCTGGCAAACCGGGTGATTGGCCACTACGATGATTGATAGCCCTTGTTTCCAGTCAGACTTCTGGGAGACCCGGACCCGGAAACGATCGGCAATTCTCAGCCTCACTGGGGTGGAAAAAACCTGGGGGGCTTTGAAATGTCCCAGTGAGCGTGCTACTTGTCACACCGCTGGGAGTGGAGCTCGAGCATCTGGATGTCAGAGCTCCACTGTTGATTCTAATATTTGCAGCCCCGTTTGAGAACCACAGCCTCCCAGCCCTAAAGGTATGCTAACCCCACTTGCTCACCTGGGTAAAATAAGCTGGTCAGACTTCCCACCCACTTATGTTACCCTCATCTTGTGCCCATCTATTTCTTGGCCCCTGCCCCACATAGACACATCGAGTTTTGTTAGCCGGTTTAGCTCAGCAACCCAGTGTGTGATGCCCCCAACTGCTCCCATTGTATGTCTCAGTGGCGCTGGGACTGCCCAGCTCCCTGTCTTGATTGAACGCCCTGTCTTGGGGTGTGTCTCCCTGTCCAAGGACAAAGTAAGGGCTTGGTGTGGAGCTCTAAGTGGACTTGCCATGCTCAATGAGGTTGGAGGGAGTGGTGGCTGAAGGGCATTTGGAAGGCTGCTTGCCCATGTGCCTACCCTGGTGGCTAACAAAGGCCTTGCCACAGTTACCACAGAGAATGAATGCAATCGCTGGCTCTCTGTGTGGGTGTGCCAGTGTGTGAGTAGGTTCCACCACTGGCTGAAGGTCCAGTGCATTACCTGGGGCTTCTCACTGCTGGGTCCTCTGGTGCACGACAAGGCTCACCAAAGTTAGGGCTTCTCATGCCTGTGTGTGCCCTGCTGCTGGAGGAGCACTGAGCTCTTCCCAAAGGACTTCCATCTCTGGGTGCATATAAGAGGTCTCTCCCTGGAGTGAATTATCTGGTGCTGCCGCAGGGCCACCCACCACACAAAAACCTTATTCTGTCCAGGCAGGCATGAGGTTGCTTGCACTCAAGGAGTTTGGAGGTCCAATTGAAGGTGCGCACTGGTGTGAGGGACTTGACTGGGTGGGGGCTGGCTGCAGGGTCTGTGGAAAGTCTACATACCCTCCCCACTTTTATTGAAGTTCACTAAGTGGATCCTTCTCCCTCCCCAAGGCTAATGCTGGGAGAAGCAACAGAAAAGCACTCCACTACACTCACTGGTCACACACAGGGGGCTTCAGAAGCGAAACCCTTGGTCACACAGGGCACTGGAGAGGAAGTGGGGCTCCCACATGAGGAATCCAGCTCCTTCAAATTGTCAAGTACCTGGATTTGAGCTCATGCCAAGGCCACAGCCCTGGGAGCCTGTGCCCTGGGGAAGTTGTCCTGCTGCCTGCTGTCCCTCCACACAGCTCCCCCTCCTGAGAGGGCGTTTCCCAGCTCTGTCCTCTGTGGAGGGTGCTCAGTTCCACCTCAGGCCTCTCCTGATGGCCCAGGGCAGCTCAATGGGAATCAGCCTAGGTACTCTTCCATGCTAAGCGTCCTGGGCTGCTGGAACTTCCAACCTGAGAATGGCCTCCAACTCAGGGAACTGGTTGCAGGATCCAGACAAGCTGAGTAGAAATGGAGAGGCTAGTAGTTTCCTGGAGGGGAAAAGATACCAGGAGCTATGAAAGCAAACCCCAACAGCTGTGGCATTCTGGATGGCTTGGCCAAATTTGGTCAAGAGTTTTGAAAGCTATAAAAAGGGCAGAGACATAAAGGAATTTCAACAGGAACTGAAGGCAGCCAGCTAGCTCAGTGGGTGAGGTGGTCAGGGGGTGACCTCCTTACCTCTCCAGACTTGGTTCCTCTCCTCCCTTCCACTTTCTATCACCTGTCCTGGAGTGGAGGAGGGGGTGAGGACAAAGTCCCGCACTTGACCAAGTCTGGCTGCATGGTTTCAGCCTGGGATGCATGGTTTTCCTGTCTAGGCCTCAGTTTCCCCACCTGTAAAGTGGGGAAACATGGGCAACCATCTCATGGGGAGGTTGTGAACTCTAGCTCTTTCCAGGTGGCCCCAAATCTGCATTTGTAGCCCAGCAGTGGCTCTGGGCAGTAAAATTTTCTGATTCCTGTAGACCTGAAGTCTTCCTCTCTTTGAACCCTCATTTCCCATATGTAAAATGGACAGGAAGCTGCCGTTTTTCTAGACTTGGAGTGAGGACAAAATGAATCAATCTGTTTAATAATCTTGGCACAGGGTTGGGTGGTGCCTAAAAGGCACTCAGAAAATTGTAGCTGCTTTTAGCTAATTTATTAAATTGTTGTCCATTCAGCAGACATTTATGGAACGCTACTGTGTGCCAGGCTCCAGATACTGCCTCACCCATCTCCAGCTTTTGGAGCTACCCCAGCTGATGCTCTAGTGAGTATAGAGCTTTGTCCAAATCCTGATCTCCACACACTGGGCCCAGAGAGCGGCCTGAGACCAGAGGCTCAGACGCAACAGGTGGCCCAGGCCGATCACCCCCTCCAAACTGCGGCCCATCCCGGGCCAGCCAGAGTCCGCCCCCCTTCCTCCGATCCGGAACCAACAAACCAACTCAGCCCGAACCTGAAGCGCAGGGGTCGGCCGCCCGCGCCACAGCGGCGCCCCGAGTGGGCTGCTGTGGGCGCCCGGAGGACTTCCGTCTTACTGGTTCTCCAGGCAGGCACGGTGCCCAGGGTCCCTTCCTCCTCTCCCCGCCAAAGAGACCTCCAGAGGAGGTCAGGAAGCTGACTTCCTCTCGTCTCCTTTCGGGCCCGAAGGAACCGGTAGGAAGGGCCCCTAAGAGCCAGCTCGGAGATTTGAGGGAAATGTAGTTCCGCCTGGAGGCCAATGCAATGGAGAACAGGACAGTAAAGGAATATGCGAACTGGTCAAGGCTTGAACCAGCACCATGGTTACCGTGGCGACCGCCAAGCCTACCCCTATTAGAGAAAGGGTGGAGACATCTGCTTCGGAGTAAAGCTGGAGGCTTCCGGCAACTCGCGATAGCCTTGGAGACGCCTCACGTCATCCCGCCTTCCAATTACTTGAATGCTGGTGATTGGTCATTCCCGGGGCGGGCAGGACTTCCGGCCTAGGTCCACGCTGTCTGCACGTCCAATGTGCAAGAGTGAGGAATGCCTGAGTGCCCCACAAATGTTTGGGCTTTGGCCTTAGGTACACACACACACTACAAATCCCGATCGCCTTGTCCTCCCGGCTCCGTTACCTATAACTTCCTAAATTCCCGTTTCTGGTTACGTCAAATTCGGATGCCTGGTTCTTCCCCAATATTAGTCTCTAGTCGTTCTCCAATTCCTGCCTCTGGGTCTTCCCAAATCCAAGTCCCTGCTTCTCCAGTTAAGGCCTTAGATTCCCCCTCCTAAAGTCTAGATCCCCGTTGTCCCCCAGTTTGTGCCTTGTACCCCCAAATCGCAGCCATCACAAATCTGTGAGACTGTTGTAAATTCATATCCCTTCAAAGCACGGTGGGTCACCTTGTGACGCCTATAATGATGTCCTTTATCAAGTGACAACCAGTGAGTGGCCAGGCCACAAGCTCCAAACTGGCCTTGTCTGATTCTGTCCTAATTTCCATGCTTAAGGGGGAAACAGGTTTAGTGGGGTGGGTCCCTCTCAGCTTTTGAAAAGGCAGGAGCCCATCTGGATCCTGCTCAGTGTGAGGGTGAATGGTGCCACTGCCTTTGCCCAGCCTCCGTGCTTTCCCCAGTCAGCACCTCCCCAGGGGCAGCCCCCAGGACAAGGCAGGGCCCTCAAGGATCAGAGAGGGTCCCTCCATGACCAGTGAGGAACCCAATTAGCTCCTGTATCCCCACAAGGCCCAGTGGGAGGCCCTAGGCTGCTGCTCTGCACATACCAGGGTGGAGAGCAGAGTTAAGAGCCATACGTGACAAGGGCTGGGGCCTTGGCCTCCCAGAGCAGCTCCTGTGCTCCTGCTAGAGCCTGGGTTCTAACCCCCAACCCAGGCCAGCTTCAGGGCCTGTGTCCTCCTGAGCTGTTACTGTTAGGTCTCTGAATGTTAGAGACCTGGACTTAGTGTTAGGTATCTGAATGTTAGGTCTCAGGGACCTTGACTTACAGACAGAGCCATGTCTGCAAGGAAACAAAATGTTTGTTGGCCTGCACCTGCAGACAGAGTCAAACTTGCAATAAAAGAAAACGCCACAAAATAGCTACTGGCTTACAGGCAGTCAACGCTTTCTGTTCAAACAATGCTACCCTGTCATCGCCCCTATATAACCCTCCTCACACCCTCCCTGGGAGTTGCAAGTCTCCTTTAGACGTGTAGCCCAGGCTGTAGCCATCTTTGCTCAGCAGGATAGACTCTCTTAATAAAATACTTTCTTAAACTTTAACAGGAACACGCACATTCCTTATATTCCTGTTAATAATTGTTAGGGGTCACCAGGGGCACGGGAGGGAGGCAACACCCCTCACCCCACTGATAAAGCTGCCAGACATCCTCTGGGGTAAAAATAACAAGCACCCAACCACAGGTTTCCTGATACAGAAAGTAGCAGAACTGTAAAGGTCCATAGAAAATTTCTGCAGAAGTGCCCGTTCTGCAATCATAACTGCTCATGTATGTTTGCAACTACTTCCTTTATTGCTTACCCTATAAAAACCCCCACAAACTCCTGCAGGCGGCTGATGCATTTTAGGCTCAGCCCTGACAGGCAAATAAAGTTGCTTGGTTTGGACATGTGCCTCAGACTTTTAACTCCTCGGCGAACCTTTCAATAATGATAGTCCAAGGGTACCCAGACTCTGGTCTGAGATGCTCCTGGAATTGGGGTAGGGCTGGTGCAAACTTTTACAGTCGGTTAACAATGTGGCTGAGCACCTGCTATGTGTATGCCCAGGGGTGGGCAAGTGGGGTCCGTGGGGACAAATGGAGGCCTTCCTGAGTCCATTTGCAGGGCCCCTTGGTGCCTGGCACCCCTTTGGAGGTTCAGGTGGCACCGGGAGGTGGGGAGCCCCATAGTCCACCAGATACTGCCTCATGCCATCCTGCCGGCCAGCATGAGTGTGCAGCCATTGTGGTAGCTGCCTCTGAGAAGCCCACCAGGGTCCACGTTCCAGCTCAGCTCGTGTCTAGGTTTAGAAAGGGCCAAACAGGCGGGGTGTGTGCGCCTCCGCAGGGCTGGCATGTGCTCTCCATTCTGGCCTCTGGGGTCAATGGGGATGGCTACAGAGTGGGCAGGGCAGAGTGTGGGCTGTCCCGCAGGCCACCTGCTGGGCACAGCCCTAGGTCCCTCGTCCAGCGATCCTCCCCGACTCCGCCCACATGCGATGAACGGGGTCAAGGAGACGATGGAGGGAACTCGACATGGGTTAAGAGAGGGCTCAAGCCAGAAAATGTTCCTTCTCCGAGGTTCAGGCCCGCTGCAGCCCCGAGCACGTTAATGTGGGAGAGGGAGGACCCATGAGTGGCGCTCACACGAGCACGTGGGAACTGGAACCAATGGAGAGCAGTCGTGACCACCGGAACTCCACCGCCCAAAGCTGCGGTGCGCGCGTGTCTGAGAAGCTGTCGCTACCGGACCAACGACTGAGGAGGCGCCAAACCCGCTCGAAACCTGCGGCAGGTGGAACGTGAAGTCAGTGACCGAACAAAGCGGCGAACCCGAGCCGGACTTCTGTCCTCATTAGACATGGCGACTCTGGCCTCATGGAGACCTCCGTGCTTGTGCTGGGGTCCCCAAGTCCGGACAAATACTGGACGTCAGACTTCCGCCAGGCACGCTGATGGGGACGCTTTTGCAAATGCTCATGCGCTCTGCATTTACGTATTCCGTCTGGCGCAGAGGACGCTCTTACATTCTTGTTCCGGATTGGTCCATAAATACAATGGTCCTTCTGTGCGTGTAGCTTCTCTGACCCGGAAGTTTTCGCTCGCGTTAAAAGCGTAGGCCGGCGGTCGCCGGCCTCTTCCTGTCTGTCCCAGGGCGACGCGTGGTGCACGCCGAGCGATAGAGACTACCCGGCTGCTCGCTGAGGTGAAGTCGCCGTGGGGTCGGGGGTCTGAGGGACGATCCAGAATCTTATAGGGAGCTATGGGTGGGCCCCGAAGCCCGGGGTTTCCTTTGTGGCGCCTCACCTCTTCTCGGGAAAACGCGCCGAGGAAACAGGCAGAGGCGCAGGGCGTTTCCTTTTGCCTCGTTGCTGGTGCCCCTCTGCCTCCGTAGCTCTGCCTGAAGCGGGGTTCCGGATTGTGGGTTTGCCTTCTACATTGAGATAGGAAGTTTGCGTTATTCTGAGATGCACGATGCACTCTCGGCCTGTGCACTGTTTTCTCCTGAGTAACAGCCCGTAGTGTCTCCTTGATATCAGCCACGCACTGCATTTTTCGCCTTGATTATGTGTAGAGTTCGTGCAATGATCTTTGATGGCTGGTAACGCTTTTATTTTACCAATGAAGAAGATGAGTCCAAAGCAGTTAGTCGACTCCCTTCAGCGGCGCAGAGCTCGTTAATGACATGGCCGGGATTTGAACTCCAGCGGAATGCCCTGTAAGGGCACTGGCATCACCTGTCCAGCTGTGGTCCATGCAACAGCTGTTGACGCGCTGCCTGCCAGTTCTTGGCCCCAGGGGTCCTGGGGAAGAGACAGATGCATCTTGCCGAAAGCTGAGTGATTTCTGTAGGGCTCAAAAAGGTGGACCCAGAATTTCACAGCTTTCTTGGTGCCTCATAACATCCGAATTCACAGGATATGGACAGGTTTCGAAGTCAATGGTGGGTGTGCCTGAGCTCTGACAATTTCTGTTCCTAGGATGACAGAGTGGGAGACTGCTGCACCTGCAGTAGCAGAAACCCCTGACATCAAGCTCTTCGGGAAGTGGAGCACTGATGATGTGCAGATCAATGACATATCCCTGCAGGTGAGGAGGGATGTGGTGGTTGTACTTCTCCCCTGAGGGTTGGGGCACTTGAAACTTGTAGCTGCCTTACTAAGTCAGGAGTTGAAGACATGACAGGTAAAAGGGTGATTCCTGGACCACCACGTCCGTTTTTCCTTATGTCCTGTTCAGAGGTTGCTTACAGTTTTGTCACAAGATGGTCTTCTTGTGACATAGGTTGTTTTTTGTTTTATAGTAAAATACACATAAAATCACCATTTTTATCACTTTCAAGTGTAAGGGTCCAACATCATTCTTTTGCACCTAAAATCCAGTTACCCCAGCACCATTTAGTTATGTTTTTGTTTCGAGCTTTTACACTTGGCTTTATTAGGATTTTGTGGCCCCTTCATAAAACAAAAATTATATTTTGTGACTGCATTAGTACAAAGATGAGTAAAATTTAAGGTTGGCTTATATTCATTTTTGTCCCTTTTTCGTTTTAGAAGGAATTAAAACATTCATTGCCTCTCAGACCAGGAAGACAGAACCCTGGGACTGTCATTAGTAACAGCCCTGTTTTTCACTCTGAATGTCTTGTAAATATTCATGGGTTTATTGGGGGTTCTGCAAACTTAAAGTAAATGTTTTTGTCATTGTGAGTCATATGTACTCTGTCATATATGTGTTTGCTTCCTGGTTTTCTCTTTTTGTACAACCCTTTACAAATTTAAAAACTTTTTCACTTTACTCTGGTACTCTCTTAGGAGCTGGAGAAGCAGAAGTCAGTGGTACCAGCGTTCCTCCTGTTTTGAAAGTTGTGCAGGGCTCTACTGTGGGACAGGACAGTTGGTGCTTGCATTTTTTCCTGCATGAAAACACGCGTAGCTTACTTGCCTATTTGCGCAGGTGGTTCTCTAGCGTAGACAACAGTCATTCCGGTATCAGAATCTCATGTCCTTTTCCTGTTGTTGGTTGTCTTTGTAGAAGAATGTGGCTTGTGTATGTCCTCATGTGTAAATGATAGGATAACCTTGGGTATGTTTCATAGAAGAATGTCCTCTAAACATACACATAGTTCCTCTTATTCACCCCCTAACACCACCGTTTTGGTGTTTTCCAGACATTTTCTTAGGAAATGCATATATGTGTAGGAAGGATTGTGTGATTTTTTTAAAAAACAGTGTTTATCTGGAGTGATTCACCCCCCCCCTTCTTTATGGGACATTTGGCAATGTTGATAACATTTTGGGTCAAAACTGAGGGGTGTTCCTGGCATACTGGGTGCTGCTAAATATTCTGCAGTGCACAGGACAGCCCATCTGCGTGTACACACCCCTCTTCCCCCAGCGATCTAAGACGGGTCAGCCAACTGCGGCTTGTGAGCTACAAGCAGCTCTTTGGGTACGGTCCGTCTCAAAAGTTTGCCGATCCCTGGAAGAGCCAATCCCATCCCTCACAACAATTTAAAAATTATTCAAGAGCCATAAATATATTTTTACATAATCACCATTATGTGAATAATATCCTTTAAAAGTTTTATAAATGAAGCTATGATAGTTTTATTTTCATTTCCAATTTTACACAGAGTCTGCGGCTCACAAGCCACAGTTTGTCGACTCCTGGTGGCTCTTCCATCTCAAAAGTTTGCTGACCCCGGATCTAAGACATCCATTGTGCAGAGTTCGAGGAACACTTAAAACTAGTCATGGGCTGTATTCCCAGTAGCTCTCGAGCCCACACCCTCCCATTAAAAAGGAAGTACTGTTTTTAGTGATTTAGTAGAGTCACTTGTTTAGGTCTTATTTTTTCATGACAGCAGAGGCTCACAACCAAGCCCACACAGGTGGGTGGGGACTGCCCTGAGTGGGTGCTCCTGACCACAGTCCACTCTCCCTGTTACCCCAGGATTACATCGCGGTGAAGGAGAAATATGCCAAGTACCTGCCCCACAGTGCAGGACGCTATGCAGCCAAGCGCTTCCGCAAGGCGCAGTGCCCCATTGTGGAGCGCCTCACCAACTCCATGATGATGCATGGCCGTAATAATGGCAAGAAGCTCATGACTGTGCGCATCGTCAAGCATGCCTTTGAGATCATTCACCTGCTCACCGGTGAGGTAGGGCCTGAATCCTGTGGGGCTGAGCGCCCTAGTGCACCCTAAAGCCAGCAGCCACCCCACAACGCATGCTAGGCTCCTCCAGGTCATAAGGCTAAAGACCTGGGGGTATGTGGGCCGGCTGTGAGGCTTATGGCCATCCTGTCTCCTAGAACCCCCTGCAGGTCCTGGTGAATGCCATCATCAACAGTGGCCCCCGAGAGGACTCCACCCGCATTGGGCGAGCCGGAACAGTGAGGCGACAGGCTGTGGATGTGTCCCCTCTGCGCCGTGTGAATCAGGTGGGCCTGGGGCTTTTGGCACTTGTGGCTGGGCAGGAACAGCAATCAGGCCTTGGTGGAGTCCTGCCCAGAGCAGAGCTGGCAAGTGGGAAGGCTTATCCCTGTCTACATGTTTTACCTGGAGTGTCATTTCCTCGGGGAAGCCTTCCTGGATTCCCACCCATGCAGGGCAGATCTTAGCTCTGAGCCTTTTCCTGGGTCACATTGGCTGAAGTACAGTTTCATTCGGGTATATATCTTTACACACACACACACACACACACATACACACATACACACACACCATTTCCCCCTTAACACTTCTTGGGTGTTTCTAGGAACATGGGTGTTTTATCTTCACCATCACCCCCAAGGAATTTAATAGCAGTCAAATTATCCAGTGTTTCCTCAGTGTCACATTTATGCAGCTGTCCCCAGCATACCCTTTGCAGCTGTTTGTTTTCAGTCAAGGGTCCAGACCAAGAGCACTATCATGGCAGCTCTCAAGTCTGTCATTGGGGACCCAACCTCAGCCTCTGTGTCTACACTTATTTTTGAGGGCTCCCACTGTGTCTTGTCTCACTGGGCAACAGCATGGTAGCCAGCGTTTGTTGAGAGCCCTGCCTGGTTTGGGGATATCCCATGCCCCAGGCTTAGCTGACCGTTGTACTCCCTAGGCCATCTGGCTGCTGTGCACAGGTGCCCGGGAGGCTGCCTTCCGGAACATCAAGACCATCGCCGAGTGCCTGGCAGATGAGCTCATTAATGCGGCCAAGGTGGGTGAGGACATGGTGGGAAGTTGGGGTGGGGAGGGGGTTCCCTCCCAACACCCAGAGCTGACTATGTCCCTCCTTGCAGGGCTCTTCCAACTCCTACGCTATCAAGAAGAAAGATGAGCTGGAGCGTGTGGCCAAGTCCAACCGTTGATTGCCTGGCTGTGGCCCCAATAAACCTGTTTGCCCTTTGGGGCAGCGCCACCCGCCTGTGTCACTGTCTGTCCTTGAGGGGCTCTGGGAGCTGGGGGTCAGAGCAAAATGGCCCTGGTATCGTAGAGCTGCTCACATTCCTGGCATGTCTTTTGACCTGTGGGGACCTGGATTCCCCAGGGAAGCACAACTGACTCAACCATGGCACCCTGTGGTGCAGGCCTAGCCACCTAGAGTGTTCCAGCAGGTGTTGGAAATGAGAGGGGTGGGACCATTCTGCCAGAGATGTCGCTGTGGCCTGGGGTGGGGCTTGGAGGGTGCCCATGAGGTTTGGGTGGCAGTCTACCATCTTGAGAAGCCTGTTACCTGGAAGCCAAGACCTGGGGTGTAGGCCATGACTGGTTCCTGCCCCTTTGCTGGCTGGCAAGGGCCAACCCTGTCCAGTCCACGGTGGGTCTGCCCACCCTCCATTCACAAGACTCCTTAAGTCCCACCCACCCTTGTTACTGGACAGTTTGGCCAGGGGCTCAAGGCTACCTCCCCAGCCATTTTGTGTGGTTCTGGCAACAGCCTAGCCGCCTCCCTCCCCCACCAGGTTCTTCAGTAGCTACCCAGGTGGAGAGGTATTGAATGAGGGGGTTCCTCACCTGAGGGACCTGTGCAGTCTCAACCTATGCTGTCATCAAACCACCCCCAACATCCGCCTTGGTGTTCATCCTGGTGGGCAGGACAAGCAGTCAGACCAGTCTACCAGGAACCTGGGATCTGAAGGGAGTGGCCCCACCACAGGCACCCTCCCACAGGGAGGGGCACTTAGTGTCCAGCTGCCAGTAGGCCATGTATTGGGGTCAGAACTGGTAGACATCCCAGCCAGAGGGAGGAGAAACCCACAGGTAAGAGCCCAGTGGCCAGCTGGGGTATGTCATTGGTGGGGAGCCTCTGATCCCTGTTAGGGCTTCCTTTCTTGGTTTGCTGGGCACCTGAGACACCCAGTGCCCTGCAGGGTCTCTGTGCTTCTGGGAGTCCCTATCTTTGCCTCCTCCCCATGTCTGCCCAGAGTCCTACCTGGAGCTGCTCAGTTCCTCTCAGCGCCCCCCTTCTCTGGGGCCTCCCAAATCTAGCTCGTCTGTGGTGCCTCCAGGGCCCCTCCCTGTCCACAATCCCCTCAGAGCCCCTGTCTTCCCATCTGTATGCTCTCCCCCACCCCCCTTAGCCCAAGTCTAATCCTGTCTCTACACCCCACCTTGGACACCCTCCACAACTACCTCATCCAGTCTCTGCTCCTCCTAGGCACTGCTGTGTTGGGTAATCCCCTCCAGAGTCCAATCCCCTGACCCTCCCCAGATCCCCCTGCATCCTTTTGACACCTCTATCCCAGCCTGACCACCTCTCCTGGCAGGTCCAGTCCGGATGCCCTGCCCTCGGCCGCCCTGGCTCCGTCACCCCCGTACCCCTCAGGGCGTGGGCCCCAGTTCCCTGGGCTCGCTCTCTGCCTCCCGCTCCCCCAGCAGGGGGACAGACGAGGATGAGGACGAGGAGGAGGGGGACGGCAGCCCGGGCTCGGGCCCCATTCTGCCCCCCGCGTCTCCCGTGGAGTGCCTCATCTGTGTGTCGCCCTTTGATGGCGTGTTCAAGCTTCCTAAGCGCCTGGACTGCGGCCACGTCTTCTGCCTCGAGTGCCTGGCTCGCCTGTCTCTGGCCACGGCGGGCGGCGGTGACGCGGTGGCCTGCCCGGTGTGCCGCGCGCCCACACGCCTAGCCTCGCGCGGGGGACTGCCCGCACTGCCCACGCAACCCAGCCTACTGCCCCCTGACGCACGCGCGCCGCCAGCACGCCAGGGCTCTGTGCGCTTCGACCGGCGCCGTGGGCTGCTCTATCTGCGCCCACCGACCACACCCGGGCCGCGCAAGGCCCGCAACGTGCGCCCTCCAGCCCCACCGCCGCTGCGCCTCGGCCGGCCTCTGTCGCGCCGTCTGACACTGGACAGCCCGACCTGGGCCTTCAACGCAGCAGTGGCATTGGCCGTGCTGGTGGCCGCGGGCCTTGTTGTCTCTGGCGTCTACATCTTCTTCCTCATCCCGCATGCCACCTCCTCTGGCCCTGCGCGGCCCCAGCTCGTGGCGCTCGCCCCAGCGCCCGGCTTCTCCTGGTTCCCGCCTCAGCCTATGCCTGGGACACCCTGGACCCCTGCCTGGACGCCGCGCCCCATAGACCGTGACCTGGACGCCGCCCTGCCAGGGGCTGCGGAGGACGCACTGGAGCCCAAGGGGAGTCCCGAGGACCCAGCGGAGGCCGAGGGGATGCTGGACAGGCCCTCGGACGGCATGTGGGGGACAGAGGGTGGTCCGCTCTGGGCCTCACGGGCACGGGGCAGGAGAAGGGTGTGGGGGCCACAGTAAACGCATCCGTGTTGCAGGCCCTGTCTCCAGGCCTGTGGACTTCTGCATCGTGCTGGTGAGGTCCTGCCAGGACCACTAGCCACTATCCCCTGAGGCTTACTTAGCAGGGCACATGGCAGGCATGCATTTCTCCATAAGGAAGCCTGGCGGGATCATTGCTATGGGACAAGGACCCTCTAATGGAGGCAACTCCTATCAATTCCACAGGGACCCGCTGGAACACCCCAATCCCAATCTCTGGGGGCATCCAGCTGAGAGAGCCCTGACCCCATCATTGTAAAAGTTTTGCCGGGAGATACTCCTAAATCTGGTTTCCATTAGGGTCCAGTGGGAGTCTCCTGGTCCTCATCCCTCATGAGGAGGGCCTGCTAGGGGCAACCCAGCCCTGACCCTCACAAGGGTCCTGAGTGCACCCCCAGGCATTATCAGGGCCCTGGGGGGAGCATCCTCAGCGGCACCAGGGGCTGAAGGCTCTGAAAATCCCTGCAGGTGGCTGTGGGCCCCCATCCTTAGAGGGCAAAGCTGCTGCTCCTTTTATTCCCGAGCCAACTCCCCTGACTGGGCCATTGTGAAGCCCTCAGGCCGTGGAATTTGTTTTCTACTCTGCTGCCCACAGGCTGGACCCGGATGGGATTCAGTTGTCTCCATGCTGGTACTGGGTTGCCACCCTACACATCTGGCTGGGGTTTGGGCTTGGAGTGGCATTGGTGGCCTATCCAGAACTGGGGAGGGACAGGTAGGGTCTGAGCCTCAAAGACTGGCTCCCACCTTGTTGCTGAGTACCAACTTGCGATGGGAACCTTGACTTCCCCTATGGGTCCTGGCTTCTAGGATCCTCCTGATATACTGTGGGGCAGCTGTGGTCACCAAGGCTCAGAGGCCAAGGTTGTCCTCTGGGTCGACAGTGTCATGTGATTTGGGGAGTTGCTCCTGGACATCGCTGGCCTGCCCAAAGGGTCCTGGACCCTCTTTCTAGCTGCTATAGCCCCTACCACTCCCATATCCACTCACTGATCTCTCAGGGCCAATTACTATACCTCCTCTCCAGGGCTCCCTCAGCCTTTCATGGCATCCCTGTTGTGCCCCCAGGTGAAGCCTCAGCCCTCTCTGTGGACAGCAGCCTCCAGGGAGGGCCGCTCTTGGGTTCCTGCCCTCTTCTTCTCAGAAGCCTTACTGGGTTAGTCACAGCAGAGTAGATGGCAGCCACCCTCTGCACAAATTGAACATGAATCATCTCCCCTGCTCCCAGCCATGGGCCTCCCCCATCCTGCCTTGCTTCACCCAGGGTGAAGTGAGGGGATGCTGTGCAGCCAGTGGGAATTGGCATTTTCCAATGTGGTTTCTATGTGGCTGGAGGGTCCTGTTTGCTTTATTTACATGTGTGTCCTTCTGTGCCTGGCATACAGTGTGTGCCAAATAATTTTCAGGGGAGTGACAGCATTGCAGGTGACCAGAAGGCAGCCTGGGAATGCCTGTAGGCACCCTGGGTTCACCCGGCTGCCAGCCACCCTGACTTAGGCAGTCAGTGGAGTGCCTTCTGATACCAGCTGCTGCTTCCAGGTGGGAAACCTGGCAGGAACAGCAGGGAGTCTGAGGGAGTGTCTTCCCAGACCAGTTCTCATCCCACACCCATGTGCCGATGTCACCCATAGCCCAGCCCCACAGGGAGGGGACCCGATCAGGCAGGTGCAGGTTTGGCGACATGTATTGGGTTTCTCTGTCTACTGCAATAAATTTCCACCAACTCAGTTCTTTAGAAAGACACAGTTCTGCAGGTAAGTCTTGTGACCAGTCTCAGTGGGCTGAAACCCTTCAGGGCTCATTCCTTCTGGAGGCTCTAGTGGAAAATAGGTCTCTTAGCTTCTCCAGCTTCTAAGGCTGCATTCCTTGGCTTCCTCCTCCATCTTCAAAGCAGCAGCATAGCATCTTCAAATCTCTCTCCCATCTTCCTGCCTCTACCTCCCTCTTTCACTTATAAAGACACTGGGATGACACTGAGCCCTCCCAGATAACCCAGGATAATCACCCCAGCTCAACAGCGTTAACTTAATCATAGCTGCAAAGTCAATCTTGCCATACAAGGTAACAAGACTCAGATTCCAGGGATTAGGATCTGGGTATCTTTGGGGTCCATTATTCACTTTACATAGGGTCTCCAATATCTCCCTCCTCATCCCTTCCCTCCTGCACCCCAAGCTGAAGAGTGGTGAGGGGAGCGCAAAAGACCTGGCAGGGATGAGCCCAGCCAGGGGGGTCAGAGAGAAGCCCTTGGCTGGTGGTGCACAGAAGGAGAAAATACTCTGCCTAAGGATGTTCAGGGAAGGCTGCCTGGAGGAAGAGACCTCAGAGCTATATCTTCAAGGATACTCAGGGGAAATGCCAGCTGGCATTGACTCAGGGGGACCTGGAGCAGTGAGGTGGTGGCTGAGGGCAGTGGGCAGGTCTGGCCCCTTCCTCCCTGTCCTAACCAGCTTCCTCCTGGGGGCTACAAGTAAGCTTGGCTTCTCCACCCTCCCAGCTGGGAGCTGGAGGCCTCAGTTTCTCCTCCTGTAAAATGAGGCCAATGACAGAGCCCAGGGGTCACTGAGCATCCCTTTCTGATTAATATCTCGATGCCTGCCTGCCCACTACCCAGGAACAAAGCGGCTGTCCGACACCACCCTGGGGCCAGGATCATGGGGAACTCCTCTCCATCCTTGCTTATCATCCTCTGTGGCCACCTGGAGCAGTGCCCTCCAAGCTCCTCCCCCTGCCTACTCCATCCCTACTGGACTCCCCATTCCAGGTCCTGTGAACACCCAGAGAGTGGGTCAGCTTCAGTGCCTGGCATGGTGCCAGAGAGGACTGTACCCACCAGCCTTTGGTTCTCTCTTCTGTAAAACAGGCAACAATAAACACTCTACTTGCAGAGAACTCATTAATCCACAACTATTTATTGAGCACCTGCTGTGTATCAAGGGTACATGGGGACCTCATGTGACAAATGATGTCCAGAGGGTTGAGCAGAGGAGCCTCCATCTTGGCCACACTGCCTCCCCCATCGTGCTCTTGCGGCCCCAATTCCCCAAACCTTTCCTGGGTCCTCCCATAGGTCTCCTCACATTGTCCCCAGAGGGCACACCCGTTCCTGGCCATCAGGGCATCCTCTTGTGTTTAGGCCCAGGGAACAAGGCCACGTGGGGCCCTCGCTGGACCCTGGGAGCGGTAGTTAACAGATGGGGAAACTGAGGCTGACAGGCTGGGCAGGGCGTGGATTCGAAAGGGGACCAGAGAGCTTTCTGCAAAACACCTTCTTGCAACTCCACACCCTGGTTCGACCTGGCAACTCGGTTTTGCTTCCCCCACTAATCCACCCGGCCCCGCAGGTGCAGTTCTCTCCTTCGCCTTAGCTCTCTACTCCTTGCTAACACCCGAGGCGGAGGCGAAGGCTGAGGCAGACGAGATGGGGAAAGAGAGGTTGGCAAGCAGCAGGGACCAATCTGAGGCCACATTGCGGGCCAGGGCTTGACTTGTTGCTATAGCAACTTGGCTCGCTTTCGGCTTTCAACCCGCATGGTTGGCACCCCTCCGCAGAGCCTGATGGGAGGAGCAAGGAAGATGCGTCAGAACTGACGGACAATTCTTCTCTCTCTCATACTTTCAGCTAGTTGCAAAATGTAACACAGAGGCAGAGGGGTCAGAGCTTAGAGGGTCAGGGTGACCCCAGTTTGTACCTGGGTTCCCAGGTGGCTGTAGTTACAATGCCTCACCTCTGTGTGTCCATTCCCTTATCTATCAAATGGGGAAATTAGAGCTTCAGCCCCTGCTTGGTGGGAATAGTAACATCTGACTGTTCCTACAGGAAGTTCAGCATCACTGCTCAGACCCTCTATGAATACGAGCCCAGGAAAGGTGAATGGTTAAAAGTGGCAACTTTAGACCGAGACCTTTGGGGGTCAAACTGTAGTGCTGCTTCCTACAGCTATGACCCAGAGTAAGCACTGGACCTCTCAGACCTGTGCTATCCACACCTCTGCCCACACTCATGGAAGGGAACAGCTTTCTAGACATGTTTAAGGATATGTATCAGCCCCGTACGTGTTAAGGGGTGGCCAATGTCAGAGACACAGCTCAGGCACAGGCATGAGAACAGTCTAACCCCAGGGACACTCCCACCCCAGCTTGCAGTCTCCATGGCTGAGCCTCTTATGGACCTCTCATGCCATCCCTGGTTTCAAGTCTACCTGGTCTATCAATCAGTGCTCCTGACTGCACTCCAATTGAGTGACGTCATGGGGTGTGACGGTGTCAATCATGTGGGGAATAAATAGGGCTGGATAATCCACCCGATGGCAGTCCTACCGACGACAGGAATGTACCCTGTGCTGGAGGGAGTCTCCTGTACCTGCCTTCTTGGAGAGAACACGCAGGTGTCATTGAGGAACAGGGCTACAAGGGCTGTGTGAGGATATGTGACCAACTCAGGACACGTTAACAGCTGAGATTGCACAGCTGGAGACAGAGCTGTGGGATATAGAGTGGGAGCATGACTAGGGGACTGGAGTTGGGTTGCTGTCAAGAGGATGAAAAACCAGTAGCAGGTAAGGGAGACACTAAGACCTGAGAGGGGCTGGGCCAGGCACCAGGTGTGAGAATGACTCCTGGGGCGGTCACCAGTGCCGGTTTTCTCAATTCCAGCTGGGTAAGCACAGAAAATGTGGAAACCGTCAGAGCTCTGGGATCTCATCAAGTTTATGACAGTCCAAACCAGGAAAGGCCAGCCCTCTTGCTACACCAAGGAGGGCACTGAACTTAGCAAACTGAATGTCTAGGAAAGATCTACAAGGCACAGCCCAGTGTCCCCACGAACAACGACCACATCAGTGTGCATCTCACAGGAAGTGACTGAACTGAACACGACCTGCTGTGAAGATTTAAAGACTTGTGACCCCCATCTCGGCTACTCATGGCCCCTGGGTAGAATGTGTGCGGGATGCTAACGAAGCAGCCAGGGAGAGGAGGCAGCATGGCCTGGGACCAGCAACTTCCAAGGGCAACGTGAAAAGAGCAGAGAAAGCTGTGCCAAAGGGGCCGCCTCTCTGAGGCTGGGTACACCGGGGCTGTGTTGAGACGGGACACTTGCCACACTCACGGCACATACAGGATGTGGTGGGACCTCCCCGAATCTCGTACTTTCCCGGCTCGTGTGTCTGTAGACTCAGGGAACCGCCTGGACGCCGGACGCCGGACGCCGGACGCCGCCCGCCGCCGCCGCCCGCCGCCTAGAAACGCCCCTGTCCAGGACCGTCATTCGTTACGTCTTACGGACGCCCTGCGAGGTCACTTATGGGAAATGTAGTTCACGTGTGTTTCCCTCCACCCAGCAGCTGGAAGCGCCATCCCCTGTCGCCTTGGCAACGAGCAAGCGGCACCGCGGAGGCAGCTGGGAAATGAAGTCAACAGTCTGAGGCAGGCGCCGAATCAATGGAGGCGCAGGCAACACCCGCGGGGCGGGACTTCTGGCATTGCTTGCTAGCTCAGTCGGCCGCCGGTGGGTGTCTGCTGGCTCTTGGGACGCGCTGTGCGGGCGGGGCGACTCCCTCGAGCCCCGCCAGTGGAGGAGAAGGGCGGGAACCCTGGCAGCGCCTTTGCACGAGCCGTGGCCCCTGGGATGACTCCCTCTTCATGATTCTCGCGTGTCCTGTGCCCCCGGAGGCGGCTCCCCAGTCCTCGGTACGTTTTACCCGGCGGAGACCGAACTTCGAAGTTTCCACACCTGCCGGAGGTTGTTCCGCCCGGGGCGGGGGTCGGGTCCAGATTTCAGCTGAGTCCGCCCAGAGTCGATGCTCGTCCTGGTCAGCGCCGGTGGCGGCCACGCTCGGCCAGCAGGATCCGATGGCCGAGGAGGCGCAGGTGAGTGGAAGGGATCCGGGTTCTGAGTGAGCACAGGAGTGAGGAAGGTTATGGCAGGGGAGGAGACAGCCATGCAAAGGCAGGCGGAGGGCCGGGTTTCAGAGATGCGTGTGTGTTTCCGGGAAACCGAGGGTTGAAACTGGAAACGGATCCTGTGGATAGGTTCAGTTCGGTGCTGGGGGAGGAGGCCATGGAGGTATGGGGCTGGACTGGGTCAGGATGGGATTGTGGGTGCATTCCGTGGTATCACTCAGGGGACACCATGTGCAGAACTAGCATGTGGGGAGTCCAGCAAGTTGCCAGTGCGGTGAACTGGTGAGGTTGTGCAGGGGGTGTGGCTTTGTGACATGCTGTGGTACAAAGATTTACGTGCCTGCTGGGCAGAAGGGTAAACTGAAGAACCCTGGGACCAGGTACTTGTGCCTGAGAGAGAAGGGTGTGCATGGGTTTGGTTGTCTCTGAGAGGTGATCTGTGTGACACAGGGAATTGATTTGCAGGGGCTAGGGTGGGTCCTGTGTGCCCAACCAGGTACATAGATGATGTCTGTCTGGTCACCAGCCTGTTGTGGGCTGGGTGCAGAATCCAGTAGTAACATGAGGAGAGAGGCACCAGTGGTACTGGGGGCCCCTGTAAACCTCTGAGGTAGGGGTCCTGACTTCATTTTCCATGAGGGTATGTGTGAGATGGAGATGACAGCAAGAGATGTGCCAGACCTTGAGCTACAGGTCAAGGGCCTGGATGTGGTCCTCTATGTTTTGGATGGCTTTTCTGCCCACTGTTGACCCTAAGTTGTGAGGACCCCGACCCAGACCCTAGGCCAGACAGACTCATTTTTGAAAAAATCATACTTCAGCTACTTCAGCTAAACTCTAAGCAGAACTTCCCATTAAGAACTTCCCGTTAAGACACCAGGGGTTGGTAATAATAATAGACAGTAAACGCCCAGCTTTACAAGAAATGGGTTGCAACAGAAATAAAATAATGTTTTGCAGAAGTAGTTTTGTCACAACTGGCTTGGAACATTTCACAAGAACTAACAGCTCTTTTTGCTTCTGTACACTTGCTTTGCTTCTGCTTTTTGCCCAATACCCCGAAAGCAAGCCCTATAAAACTTCCACCTGCCAAGACCTCAGGGCCATTTTCCTCTTGCAGAGTGAGACGGACTTGGCTCAATAAAGCCTTTGGAACGAAAAACTCAGTCTCTCAGGTCTTTATTAATGAGCAAGGACCTAACAAAGGCTCAGCTGAATCCATCATTTCAGGGCCTGGTGACCTTTGAGGATGTGGCTGTGTATTTCTCCCAGGAGGAGTGGTGTCTCCTTAATTTGACTCAGAGGAGCTTGTACCAGGATATGATGCTGGAGAACTTTGCGCTCAGTGTCTCTCTAGGTATGTCTCTCACACATTTCCCCAGTAAACTGACTGCCTCTGCCATTTCCCCGATGGAAGTTCTGTCCATTCTAAAGCCCCACCACAGAGGCAGCTTTCTTCCCTGTTTCCCTGTAGTTGGTGCTCTGAGCACCGGGACTGGGCTGTGTGCTCTTCCCCACCTCATGGAGCAGCCCGGTTAGCCTCAACACCTGTCGCCCCACAGTCTTCTGGAGTAGGACTTGGAATTCATCTAGTTACAGTTTTCCCAACAAATCCCACCAGCTCTGCCTCTCTCTGGCCCTGTGACTCTGCTGAAGCCATGGCCTCTCTGTGTTCTGGGTTTTGCCTCCTTCCCCCAAAAGAAATTTTATTGGCGCTCCCTGTGCCAGGCTTGAACCATGAATCAAATCAGATCACTTTGGGGAGTCTTGCCATCTTAATCTCTTTCAATTCATGAACATGAGATGTCTTTCCACTTATTTAGCTCTTCTTTAATTTTTTTCAACAGTGTTTTGTAGCTTTCAAAGCTCAGTTCGGGCTGGGAATTGAACTTGCTCAGAGCTCTCACTCTTGAGCGAGCTCTTAACCAACTGAGCCACTCAGCCAGCCCAAGTGTACAAGGCCAAATTTAACCTTAAAGATTTTATTCTTTTGATGCTATTTTACAAGGAAGTGTTTTTCTTAATTTCATTTTGGATTGTTTGTTGCTAGTATATAGAAATGTAATTGACTTTTGCATACTATCTTGTATCTTGCAACCTTGCTCTACTCATTTCTTAGTTCTAATAGTTGGTTTATTTTAGTGGATTTCTCAGTGTTTTCCATATATATATATATATATATATATATATATATATATATATATAATGTCATGTCATCTACAAATATTTTTACTTCTTCCTTTGCCTAACTGACCTGGGTAGAACATCCAATACTTTATTGGATAGAGTTGGTAAGAGTAGACATCCTTGTCTTGTTCCCAGTCTTATGGGGAAAGCTTTCAGTTTTTCACTAGCAAGATGTTAGCTGTAGGTTTTTTGCAGATGGCCTTTTCAGGTGAGGAAGTTCCCTTCTCTTCCTAGTTTGTTGAATGCATTTGTCATGAAAGGTCCTTAGATTGTGTCTAAGGCTTTCCCATGTGTATGGAAATGATCGTGATTTTTGTCCTCTATTCTGTTAACAGGGTGTATTACAGTAATTGGTTTTCATATGTTTAACCTTGCCTTACTAGGATAAATCCCACTTTATATAATTCTGAATTTGTTTTGCTAGTATTTTTGTTTGTTTGTTTTTTGTTTTGTTTTTTAGCTGAGTCATCCTGCCACCTGTTGTCAGCTCAGCGGCAGCTTAGCTCGGGCTGAGAATCGAACCACTGTTGCTCATAGCTCAAACTCTTGATCGAGCTCTTAACCAACTGATCCACTCGGCTGGCCCTGCTAGTATTTTGTTGATGAGTTTTCCATCTCTATTCATAAGACTTATAAGTGGCATAATTTTCTCATAGTGTCTTTGTTTGGATTAAGAGGGTAATTTCAACTTCAATGGATAAGAAATGTTCCCCTCTCTTCTGTTTTCTGGAAGAGTTGTGAAGTATTAGTGTTAATTCTTATTTCAGTGTTAATATTCACCATTGAAACCATCTGAACCTAGGTTTTCTTTTATCTTTTTTTTTTTCCTGTGCGGGTATGTTTTTTGTTTTTTTAGTCTATTCAGGGCGTTGGTTAAGGGCAGGAGCTCTGAGCAACAGGGTCACTGGTTCAATTTCCACATGGGCCAGTGAGCTGGTGGCAGAATGGCTCAGCTAGTGAGAGCACGTGTTCCTAGCAGTGAGGTTGCCGGTTCAGCTCCTGCATGGGAGGTGGGCTATGCACACCTACAGCTGGGATTGAACATGGCACCTTGAGCTGGGTGGCCGCGAGCTGCCGACGGGCGGCCAGATGGCGACTGGATTTGGAGCTGAGCTGGCTACGCCCTCCACAGCTAGGATTGAGGGACAGCAACTTGGCTGTTCTTCTTCCCTAATTCCCCAACACTGTTCCCCTTCCCCAATTCCTCAATAAAATCTTTAAAAAATAATAAAAACAATAAAGTCTATTCAGATTTTCTATTTTTTCTTGAATGAGCTTTGGTAATTTGTCCATTTTATCTAAATTATCTAACATGTGGGCATACAGTTGTTCATAGGATTCCCTCAAATCTTTTCTGTTTTTATAAAGTTGTTAGTGATGTCCTTTTTCATTCCTGTTTGAAATAAATTGAGTCTTCTATTTTTTTCTTGTCAGTGTAACAGTTTGTCAATTTTTTTTTTAATTTTATTGGGGAACAGTGTGTCTTTACAGGACCCATCAGCTCCTAGTCAAGTAGTTGTTTCAATCTAGTTGTGGAGGGCGCAACTCAGTTTCAGCCCATGTGAGGATGAAACTGGCAACTATGGTGTTATGAGCACTGCGCTCTAACCACCTGAGCTAACTGTTTGCCCCCAGTTTGTGAATTTTGTTGATCTTTTAGAAGAACCAGGTTTTGGTTTCATTGATTCTGTTTTTTCAATCTCTATTTCATTTATCTCTGCTCTTTATTATTTTTTTCCTTCATCTATCTTTGGGTGTAGTTGCTTTTCTGTTTCCTGTTCCTTAAGGTATAAAGTTAGGTTATTGGCTTGAGATCTTTTTTAATATGGGTGTTGTGACATTATAAGAAATATGTTTATATTTTGTCTTTGTTTCCAGTTCCTGGCACACAGGTCCTAAAACTCTTGGAATCTCTGGAGTGATGAGAGTGTCTTTTGTATGCTAATGGAATGACTAGTGGTGGGGACCACTAGATAGCTTCAGGATGGGGTTTGGTCACCAGAAAAGCCAAGCCATGATTGGAAGTTTCCATTTTCAGCCACCCCTCCCCTCCAACCTTCCCACCTATAGAGAGGAAAGGGGCTGGAGATTGAACCTGTCACTAGTGGCCAATGATTTACTCAATCATGCCTAGCAGTGAAACGTCCATAAGAACTTCTAAGCAACGGTGTTTGGAGAGATTCTGCATTGGTGAACACATCGAGGTGCTGGGAAAGTAGAGCCACTGAATCTAAATAAACTCTTTTCCTGAGTTCTGTGAGCCTGAGTTCTAGCAAATTATTGAACCTGAGGAGGGATGAATAATTGTGGGAATCCCTGACTCATAGCCAGTGGGTCAGAAGTACGGGAGGCCTGGAAAGCAATTGATGTCCGAAGTGGGGGCAGTCTTGTGGGACTGAGCCCTTAACCTGTAGGGTCTGACACTAATTCTGGATAGTTAGTGTGAGAGTGTTGGAGAAGTTGGAGAAACTCCCCACACATTTGGTGTCAGAAGTGATATTAGTAAAACAGCAAGGAGGTGTTTGTAACTATAATTTTCCCTTCAAGCACTGCTGTTTCCCATAACTTTTATATGGTACATTTTCATTTTAATTTATCTCCAAGTGCTTTGTGATATTTTTTGTAGTTACTTAGGAGTGTTTTATTTAAAGTCCATAAATTTGTGAGTTTCCCAGATTTCTTTCTGTCATTGATTTCTATTTTTAATTCCTTTGTAGTCAGAGAACATACTTTGTATGTTGTCATTCCTCCAAAATCCACTGAGGCTTGTTTTATGTCCTAGCAAACTGTCTGTTCTTGAGAATGTTCTGTGTGCACATGAGAATGTGAGAAGAATATGTATCTGCTGTCGTTGGGTAGCATGTTTTAGTGATGTCTGTTAGGTTTAATTTGATGTTATTTAAGTGCCATGTCCTTGTTCATTTTCTGCCTGTCCATTATTGAAAGTTAGAAATTGACTTCTCCAACTATTATTGATTGTTTCTTTTCTTTTTCTTTTTAAGATTTTATGGGGGAATTGGGAGAGGGGAACAGCATTGGGGAATCGGGGAAGGAGAAAAGACAAGTTGCTGTCCTTTTCTTCTTCAGTCTAGTTGTGGAGGACGTTGCTTCACTGGGCCATGTTGGTATTATCATTGCATTCTTCCCGGGTGAGGCAGTCGCTCTCCAGCCATTGGACGGCTGCTGATGGCGGCTCATGGCAGCTCACGAAAGCTCGTGCCCGCTGCTGGCCAGCCCCACTGCAGCCTACGCCATCGCCGGTGACTCACGGCAGCCCAGCTGCGGGTCGAGCTGTTGTTCACCATCTTAGCTGTAGAGGGTGCAGCGTTACTGACCGAATGTGGGATCTGAACCAGGGCCCTGCTGCTCAGAGCTGGCATCCCAAGCCAACTCCTAACCAACGCGCCACTCGGCTGGCCTTATTTATTTGTTTCTTATGGATGTCAGTTTTCCCTCATAGAAGCTTCTTTTTTTAAAAAATTGAGGTAAAACACATAACACGAGATCTATCTTCTCAGCAAATTTTTAAATGTACACTGGAGGTTCGTTTTCCAATACTGTTTCCTTCCTGGTTGCCATGATGACACGCGCTTCCTGGGGTGTGCAGCGGGTTGGGTCAGCCTTGGCTTGGACTGGCCTTTCATACTTTCTTTCTCCTAGGATTTGCACCTTTGAAATCACATGTGGTTGCCCAACTAGAGGATGAAGAAGAACCCTGGGTGCCCAATATAATGGACATGACTCTGGTGAGCAGAGCAGAAACCAAGAGGGGTCCCGGCATTGGTGAGTGGGGCTGGGGTATGCCTTAGTTTCAGTGATGGACTCATAGCCCGCTGGGTGTCTGTGTGTGCTGGCATTTTGACACTGAGGCCAGTGACCACACCTTCTCACCTCTCCTGTCTCTTCTGGACACCCTGTGATGTCTTGCCATCTGTATCGTGACTCAGGCCCTGGATGATGCACCTCTGGCCTGTTCCTTGTCATTTCCCCTTCTCTGTACAGTGTAGAGATGTCCAGAAGTGACCTAGTTTGCACGTGACCTGAGATGCACACATATCCTTAAATAATACTCAAAGAGTAGCTACTCTGTCACAATGATCCCTTCATCGGAATACACACATCCTCTTCACAATGCAGCTAAGGCTCTTTGAAACTCGTCACAGGTCAGTGACGTAAAGGCCCCAACTCTCACCCTGCACTGCTCCCATCTTTGTGTCCTCGTCCCTGTTGAGGTGTTCCCTATCCTGTGATCTGATAAGACCCTTTTGTGCTGGGCCACCGTTTTTCCTCCCGGACCTTTCCTAGCCACCTCCTGGTAATTCTGTGGTCCCCTTTCTGGCTGTGCCCACTGGGCACTGGTGGTGAAGGTTCCCCATCCTTTGATCCAGCTCTGAGTAACTGACTCTGCTCTGGTTTAGGTTGTCTGTGTGGGTGGGGCAATGAGGAGGCCCCTCCCTGGCAAGTGACGAGCTGCAGCGTCCACCTGTCAGACAAGCACTTTCTGTGTGGGAGTCTGGGAAGGATATGCTTGCCACCCTGGGCCAGCCCCACAGCTAGGGGCAGCCATGGACCAGCCTGGGGCATGGGGAAGCCCTCCAACCCAGCCCCTGTCATCAGCAGCAGGGGGTCCATGCTGCATAGAAGCCCCTCAAGTATGGTGGCTGCAGGGCTTCCTGAAGACCTTTTGCTCCTCTACCACCTGCTGACTCACTCCTCAGGGACACCATTCAGATGCCCAGCAGGTGGGAATGCCCCCACGGAGAATGCAACGCTTGTTAGTCACTGAAAAGTTCACATTGGAGAAGCACTGCACGTGTGCAAGGCCTGTGGAAAGGCCTTCAGCCACCCATCTAAGCTGAGGAAGCACCAGAAGGTTCACACGGGCATAAAACACTTCAAGTGTGCTGAGTACGTAAAGGCCTTCACCCGCAAAGAAACACATGTTCTGGGCCGGCCGAGTGGCGTGTTGGTTAAGAGCTGGCTTGGGAGGCCAGAGGGCCCCGGTTTGGATCCCACATATGAGGGCCAGTGACACTGCCCTCTAGAGCTAAGATGCTGAACAACAGCTCAACTTGGAGCTGGGCTGCCATGAGTTGCTTGCGTCGGCGTAGGCTGCAGCCCCTGCTGCAGTGGGTTGCCATGGGCTACCGTGTGTAGTCAGCAGCCGCAGTGAGCGGCCGTCCAGAAGCCGGCGACTGATCTGCCTCGCCTGGGAAGAGCACAATGATGGTGTCAACTTGGGCCAGTGAAGCGACATCCTCCACAACTAGACTGAAGAACAAAACAACAGCAACTTGTCTGTTCCCCTTCCCCGATTCCCCAAAGCTGTTTCCATCCCCCAATTCCCCAATAAAAAAATCTTTTAAAAAAAAAGGGGCTGGCTGAGTGGCGCATTGGTTAAGAACTGGCTTAGGATGCCAGAGGACCCCGGTTCGGATCCCACATATGAGGGCCAGTGACACTGCCCTCTACAGCTAAGATGCTGAACAACAGCTCAACCTGGAGCTGGGCTGCCGTGGGTCGCTGGCGACGGCATAGGCTGCAGTCACCGGCTGCAGTGGGCTGCCATATGCTACCGTGTGTAGCCAGCAGCCAGCGTGAGTGGCCTGCAGCTGCTGTGAGCAGCCGTCCAGAAGCCGGCAACTGATCTACCTCGCCCGGGAAGAGCGCAATGATGGTGCCAACTTGGGCCAGTGAAGCGACATCCACCACAACTAGACTGAAGAACAAAACAACAGCAACTGTCTGTTCCCCTTCCCCCGATTCCCCAATAAAATCTTTAAAAAAAAGAAAGAAAGAAACACTTATTCTGCACCAGAGAGTCCACACTGGGGAGAGGCCGTACACATGCTGGAAATACGGGAAGTTCTTCAAATACAACCACAGCTGTGTGCTGCACCAGAGAGTCCACAATGGAGAGCGGCCGTACACCAGCAGCCAGTGTGGGAAGGCATACGTGACCCTCTCTGGCCTGTACCAGCACTGGAAGGTCCACATCAGAGAACAGCCCTACACATACAGCCTATGCGGGAAGTCCTTCACCACCAGGTCCTACCCTAACCGGCACCAGCAGTTCCACACCAAAGGCAGGCCCTACGAGTGTGCAGTGTGGAAAGGCCTTCAAACATAGTTCTACCCTGCTCCAGCACCAGAAAGTCCATACTGAAGAGTGGCTGTAGGACAGGGTGTGGGCACACAAGGTCTCACTCCAGACAGGAGGCTGAGGGGAGAAGCCATGTGAAGGCTGCACTGGGCACACCCCAGCACCCACCTTGGGGGGGTGCCAGGTATGTGGGAAACTTTTTGGAGCTGTGTTGCACTCTGAGCTTCCCAGGCTGTAACAGAAGCCATCCTACCTCTACCATCTGGCCGGTCCCTGCAGTGTGCATCCATCACCTCAATGTGCTTAGGGACAGCAGACCTTCATGCTCTCTGCTTTACAAAGGAGAGAATCATGAGTGGTGGAGCCCATGTTGGCCCTCTTTTCCCCTAAGTGGTTTAGGTGTGGACATTACCTGGCTCTGGCCAGGAGTAGCTGAGCTACTAGGGGCTTCCAGGGATGGTTAACTGTTTTCAAGGACGTGTTGACGCTACACATGGTACCTGTTGTGGGTTTCTCCAACCCTGTAACTGTCTCACACTGCTCTGGAATGCACAGCAATAAAGGCCTTGTTGTTTAAGCCACCTTTAATATTGGGGGTTCTGATCCCTGTTTGAGGGGATAGAGAACAAAATTGGGCTCCTGAGTAGAGGAAAAGGCTTCCGTGGGTGTCCCTAACTTTTGTCTGCCTCAGTGGGAACAGCAGGATGGCAGAGAACAGCCCCAGTTTAGGTGGGCCTAATTTGCATTGGTGCCTGAGACCTCCAGGGAGAGATTGAAGGGCTTTGTGGGTGAATTGTGTACCCTGGACGTCAGGTTTATTTCTGGTTCCAAGCTTACCCTTAAGAATGGGAGAGTTGGTATAAGATCCTCCACGCGTATAGGGACAATGTGAGCTGCAGCCCTTGTTCCCAGGGGATATTCCTCAACCTCCAGCATTGGTCAGAGTCAGCTCAGAAGCCATGTTCTGAAATCTAGAACATGGAGGTAAGTTCTGGACTGACTGTAAGACCCACAGGGGCCTGTTGGAAAGCAAGTGGGCACAGAAACACTGAATGAAGTAAGGACTGGGGAGTCTGCTGCGCTAGAGGTCTGAGCTGGTTCTAAAGAGGCATCCACAAATGTTCCAGCAGCTGTGGTTTCACAGGGGAGGGCTGCAGAACTCATGACCTGTGGCCCAGGTCACTATCAGCAGATAACTTACAGGTCTTCTGGATTCTACTCACCTTCCTGGGTTTGTTTACCTCATGGCAGTCACCCTGGGACTGAAAAAGAAGATACTGTCGTCGGGGGGCATGGCCATGCTTCCTGGTATCTGCACACCATGGCATTCCGTTTTTGCTGCCACTGTCCCCGGGCTCAAGGGAGAGAAGTGGCTGAATCAACATATAGATTGGAATTTGGTTTGTGGAGCCTTTTGACTTAAAAAAATGATGGAAACTTTTTTCTAAAAAGTAAATGTCAGTTCAACAAAATTTGTATGTTGGCTGTAGCTGTGTCCCTGGTCCTGATACTGCTTCCTGTCAAGAGAATGTCAGTGGAAGGCGGGTTTGGAGAGCCGGCCACCCTAGACTTGAGGGGCTCTGGGCTACAGTGCTCGGCCAGTGCCATGTGTTGGGCCTGGAAACCACTGCTGCTTCCTCTAACTGGGGTGGTTCCTCACTCACCCTTCTGAAAGTGGGCAGGGTGCTGACCACACAGGGTGGAACCACAGGCACACTTGCAGTTGGGTCTTTAGCCAGTCTGCTGTTTCCCTCCAGCACCATGAAGTTTAATGCCTACCTCCAGGCTTGCTCGGGCCCTCCTCCCTGGGAGGGATAGCCTCCTCCAACATGGGGCTCTGTGTGGGGGCAGACTTAGAGTCAGGGCTCAGATCTCCAAGCAAATGGGGATCTGTAATTATTGGGCATTACAGATCACCCCTCCATGCCCTGTGTTGGGTGACCTTGGCTACATCTGAGGATGGCCTAGCATGTGGGTGAGGGGTCCTCTACACTTGCCCTGAACCAGTCTTCTGGTCTCCTGCTGGGGATCATCTGTACACAGGTGACCTGTTGGGAGAGCGGACAGAGGGTAGTTTCCCTGGTGATGCTGTGACATCTAGAACAAATCCTGGTGGCTCTGACCCTTTGACCTGCTCAGGGTACTAGTTTGGGCTGGAATCATTCATTCTATCACTTTAGCCCTAACCTCACATGTTAAGCCAGCACCAGCAGCCAGCCCATGGTTATAGGCACTGTCCTGGCTGCCCCAAGACTGTCCTCTCTCCAGCCAGTGGTGGCTCTCCTCTGGAATCCACCCAGCAGTTCCTGGCTCCTGGACAATGTTTTGTGCCCTCAGACTGTCAGGGACACCCTCTCATCCTTTCTGCCTCTTCCAGTAACACCCCTTCAACCACTAAACTAAGCTGAGATGTCCCTTCATGAGTCCTCTCACTCATTGTCCTATTTAGAGTTATTTCTCCCCCTCTCTCGTCCATGCCTTAACGTCAGGCCAAACAACAACCCTCTGCTACCAGTTTGTCCTCATGGACATGAAATAAAGAGATACATTTGTGTTTGTTGAAGACTTAGCAACATAAACCAACCAAGGCCCAACCAAGGCTTCAGTAATAGTGGGGACTATTGATAGCGTGTTTCTTGCCTTTTAAAGTTCATCTACAGAGGCAAAGTGCTTATTTTTTCACTGTGGTGTGTGACATGGTTGGACCTCATGTCAGCAGGGCAGTGTCAATTTATTTTCTCACAGTAAACAAAACAATTTAGTGACAATTATAAACAAACGTGCATGTCTCCATAGTAATTAAGCAGGAGAGCAGGACTGAAAGTCTGAACATACCCTGTTTGATACCTGGTCTCATAAGACTGCGAACTGGTTCATGAGGCCAACACCAGTTTGCTTTATAGATGCCCGTGAGAGGGACTTGCCTCATCTCTTAGCGAGTGTCTGTCTGTTCCAACTGCTGTAACAAAATAACACAGACTGGGTGACTTAAAAAACCAAGATTTCTCACAGTTGGAGGCTGGAAGTTCAGGATCCAGGTGCTGGCCAATTTCAATCCAAGTTCCTTGATATGAGCTCTCTTCCTAGCTTGTAGATGGCGGTCTTTTTGTTGTCCTAACATGGTGGGGAGGAAGGATGCTCTGGAATTTCTTAGTTTCTTATAAGGACACTAATCCCATCATGGGCCCCACCCTCATGACCTCATCTGAACCTCATATTACTGTCACATATGAGACTGGGGCTTTGACACATGAATTTGGGGGCATGCAAACATCCAGTCTATAACATCATGTAAGGAAGCAAACTAATTTTTGTGACTCTGGTATATGAAGAACAGTCTTCACAGTGACAGGACACAATGTCAGTTTTATAAAATGAAACAAATCGGTCACAGTTGTGAATATTAACACTAGAATAACAACACTGGAACTATTGGAAACATTTTCAATTTAATACCATCCATCCATGAGGAATGTGCAGCTTCCCAAGAAGTCCAAACTGGACATCCTTCAAGGGCCCTCAACCAGTATGGGTTCAGTTCATTCCCTAACCCTCACAGAGGCAATGGGAATGAAGCCATTCCAATGGGCCCAGGACAATCCTGATTCCTTCCAGGAAATGGGAAAGAAGGCACAGGGAGCCTTCTTCATGCATATGCAGATGACTGCTGCAAATATTTGGATCCAGGCAGGCTGGAAAGACAATTATGCTCTGGTGGGGAGACAGCTCTGCCCAGGTTCCTGGGCTGCTCAGAAAAGGCAGAGTAGCTTCTGAAGGCTTTTTCACATTAGTGGTACATGCAGGGAATTTCTCTGTGGGATTATGCTGCATGAAGTCTGACTTGGCTGAAGATTTTCTCACAAAGGCCATTTCCATAAGGCTCCACTCAGGTATGAATCCTTTTATGCTGAGCAAGGTTGTAGAGGCAGCTGAAGATTTTCCCAGTGGCCACACTCATAAGTCCTTTCTCTGATGTGAACTATCTTGTGTCACACAAGGATGGACCTTTCACTAAAAGCCTTCCCACATTGACTGCACTCGTAGGGCCTTTCTTGCGTGTGAACTCTTTGGTGATGAAACAGGTGAAAGTTACTGCTGAAGGTTCTTCCGCACTGACAGCACTCATAAGACCTTTCTCCAGTGTGAACTCTCCAGTAATAAATGAGACTGGACTTTCAGCTAAAGAATTTCTCACACTCACTGCACTCATAAGATCTTTCTTCAATGTGAACCTTCTGATGTTTAATGAGAATGGAGTTTTGTCTAAAGAATTTCCCACATTCATTGCATTCATAAGGCCTTTCCCTTGTGTGAATTCTCCAGTGCTCAATGAGACTAGAACTATGAGCAAAGGATTTCCCACATTCACTGCAGTCATAAGGCTTTTCTCCGGTGTGAATCCTCCAGTGTTGAATTAGGCAGGAACTGCAGCTGAAGGCTTTCCCAAATTCATTGCACTCATACAGCCTTTCTTCAATGTGAAATTTCTAGTGCTGAATGAGGGTGGTGCTATTGCTGAAGGATTTCCCACGTTCACTGCACTCAAAAGGCCATTCTCCAGTGTGAACTTTCTGATGTTGCAGGAGGTGGGAGCTTTGGCTGAAGTCTCTCCCACACTCACTGCATTCAAAAGGCTGTTCTCCAGTGTAAACTCGCCAGTGCTGAATGAGAGTAGAGCTGCAGCTGAAGGCTTTACCACATTGACTGTACTCATATGGTCTTACTTGGGTGTGAACTTTCTGATGCCGAAGGAAAATGGAGCTTTGGCTGAAGGCTCTTCCACATTTGCTGCACTTAGAAGGCCTTTCTCCAGTGTGACCTCTTATTGAAGGCTTTCCCACACTCACTGTACTCGTTAGGCCTTTCTCCTGTGTGAACTCTCTGATGATGAACAAGTAAGTTTGTGGCTGAAGGTTTTCCCACAGTTGCTACACTCATAGTATTTTACTCCACTGTGAAATTTCTTGTGCTTCCTCAGTGTAAATGGGTGACTAAAGGCCTTCCCGCACTCCTTACACACATGAGATGCTTCTCCAGTGTGAAACTTTTGGTAATTATCAAGGGTTGATTTCTCGTCTAAGGTATTTCCAACTGTTGGACATCCAAACAGTATTTCTTCAGAGTGCGTTTTTAGGTGGTTTAGGAGAGCGGATCTCTCCTGGAAGTCTGTGCCAGAGTCACTGCACTTGAGGAGCTGGGCAGGATTGGAACTGTGTGGGAAGGCCTCCCTGCACTCTGTGCTCCTATGTGGCTTCCTACCACTGTCTATGGCCAACTGCCCGAGGAGGTCATGGCCGTCTGAGACATCCTTACCACCCTGCCTGCAAGTGAAGGGCTTCTCTGACAGAAAGATTACAGAACTCTTCACAAATGCGCCCCTGTCCTTGTTCCACCTGAAGGGCTTGTCTCCACTGTGCTCCTTCTGTTGCTGGAGAAGGCATGTACTGAACCTAGACTCTCTTCCATATGTGTAGGTGGTCTCCTCAGAATGTGCTCCTTGCTGCCCATCTCAGTGCAAAGTGTCTTTCAGGAATGGGCCACAAGCGTCACAGATAGTCAGTATCCTGGGTGAAAGAATGTGCACGGAGGATCCTGACTTGTGATACCCTTTCTACAGAAGCATTCTGCTTGGAACAGGCCTTCTCATCTTTCACTCCATGCCAACAACCTGAAAGCAGAGAAATTTACAGTTAACGGAGTGTCCCATTTGGTGGAAGGGTGACTTCATTAGAAATGTGTGACTGACACATACAGGAATGGGTTCAAGGGATTACTGACAGGCCAAGGGGGCCAGAATAAGAATGAAGGGCCCACTGTGCAGAACAATGCACAGACAAACCACAGAATACAGGCCTCACCAGAGGCAAGGACAGAGATGGGACAAAAGACTTGAATGAACATTCCTCAAAAAAAAGTACACAGGGCCGGCCGAGTGGCGCGATGGTTAAGAACTGGCTTGGGATGCCAGAGGACCCCGGTTCGGATCCCACATATGAGGGCCAGTGACACTGCCCTCTACAGCTAAGATGCTGAACAACAGCTCAACCTGGAGCTGGGTTG